GTCTCTTTAGGGGTTTTTTTTTTTTTTTTTTTTTTTTTTTTTTGAGAGGTTTCTGCTATAGGGCCCGTGCGCTCGCCAGACAGAGACAAAAGGCGAGAAAGCACCCCCCAGGGGGGATGGCCACACTGCAATCCCTTCTCCTCCATTCTCCTCTCGGGATCTTGGGCGTACACACACACGCGCCTGGCATGAGTTTAAGCCACCAGGTCCGGGACTCGAACCGTGTTCGACTGCATGGGAGTCCAGCGACATAGCCATTATGCTAACTGCTGGTCCCCTTAGGAGCTTTTTAAACAGTTCACCGCGCTTACCCCTTGCACACCACTGCAGGGGGAGTGCAAGCGAAGCGCTTCCCTTGGAGGGATCCAGAACCCCGGGTGTGAGGAGCAGGGGCCAAGGAGGGCTGACTGGAGGACCTGGCCTCTGACGTGACTAACAGGCTGGAGGGCGTTAGCCAGGTGGGGAGGCCAAGCAGCAGGCACAGCACGCTCTGGCTGCGCCCTGGATTAGGGTCAGGCGGGAGGAAGCCTGAGCACGGCAGGCTGTGGACACGAGGCTCGGGAAGGTCTGTGCGGCCACCTGGCCTTCTCCCTCCTGGTGCACGGCTGACTCGGCCGTCCTGTGTCCGGCCACCTCGCAGTCGCGCTGAGCCACACGCAGATGTGTTGAAGTCAGCTGTCTTAGGTGCCCACTGAAATGTCCATGGGACCTGCTCTGGTGAACCAGCCATGCCCTGTACCCTCGGCATCTCTCCTCCCGCCGGGCGCTCAGCCATGGCTAGTGCCTTCCCATGGAGGTTTCGGGCCTCGCTTTCAGACCGTCTGCATCAGCCGCCAATCCCCCAGGAATCAGAGGGTCGTTCGGTTTCACAAGGGTCCGCCCAAGCCCCTGACCACACCTCACATTCTGTCCTCGTGCCCTGCTGCCCCCCCGTGTAGGCAGCAGAGGGGCCTGCGGCCCCCTGAGGTGCTTTGGGGACAAATATGTGCAGTACATCCTGTCCTAGCGAACTGCATGTGTCTGAAGGGGCTTCAAACGCTTTGTGGGCCCAGCCTCTGTGGTGCCCTATCATTTTAAGAACAGGGAGAAAATGAGCTTATTTGATACAGAGAAACTTTGAGATCCATGCGTAGTTTGTTCATGATGCACATTTTCCGTGAACTTTTTGAAGACCTCACATATTAAACTAGGTTTGGGTTTAATGGCATCCCGGGTGACTCAGAGCGCAGGCTTGTGCCTCAGGCAGTTTGCTCTTAGACAGGTCACATAGTGTCCCCTCACTCTGGCTTCACGCGTGAAACTGAACCTTTACCTGTTGGTGTTCCTAGAGGACAGAGAGAAAATGCCCACGAGGGACTTCGCAGTCTGGCACGAGAGCAATGCTTGCCGACCGCGAGCTGGGACGTGCAAGGCAGAGCACAGACGTGCTTGTCACCTCAGCGCGCTCCCTTGTAAACTTAGGAACAGTGCCTGTTGGGGCCAGTGCTTAAGGCACTGGACTCTACATGGCGAACTGTGGATCAAGTCCCAGACCTGGCCGTTTGCTTTCTCATTTTCTCTCTCCCTCTGTTTTACTCTGGTCAGATTAAAAAAGAAGTAATAATAGCAAATAAAATTAAATTAGTAAATAATTGTTTTTAAAAAAGAAGGAAAGAAAGGGTTAGGAGGGACCTGCACGTGCGATTAGCTGAAGCGCCCACAGTCTGACTGGGCACGTGGAGGCCCTGAGCCAGGAAGCGCGAGTTCGCCGACACCAGCAGCGGCTAGTCCCCTGCTCCGCGCCACCCCTGCCTCTCCCTCGCAGACACCATGGTGTGCACAGGCTGCTGCTCCTGCCTGGACCACATCGTGACGTACCTCTTCAAGCAGCTGTCACGCAGCACCAAGAAGAGGACCACACCCCTGAGCCAGGAGAGCGACCGCTTCCTGCACATCATGCAGCAGCATCCGGAGATGATCCAGCAGGTGGGGTGGCGTGGGAGGCAGCCAGGGCATCCGCAGGCGG